CACCAATGGAGATGTGGACTGGTAAACCAGCTGATTATTCAAACCTCCATGTATTTGGAAGTATTGTGTATGCGATGTACAACTCCCAAGAAATTTCAAAGGTGGATTCAAAATCCAGGAAATGCAAATTCTTGGGGTATGCTGATGGTGTAAAGGGTATCACTTGTGAGATCCCACTACCCGCAAAGTGATCATCAGCAGGGATGTTATCTTTGTAGAGGATAAACTACAAAGAAAAGAAGACGATGATAACGCTAAAAAGTCAGAGACTACACAATTACATGTGGAAAATGAGATTGAACAAGGAGATTCTTTTGAAGCAGAACCAGCACATGATGAACAAGAACCAGAGAGTTCTGAAGCTCCAACAACTCGTCAATCAGATCGTGTGAGAAGACGTCCCAATTGGCACTCTGATTATGTTATAGAAGGTAATATTGCATACTGCCTTTTAACAGAGGACGGTGAGCCATCAACATACCAGGAGGCAATAAACAACTCAGATGCTTCACTGAGGATGATGGCGATGCAAGAAGAAATTGAAGCCCTTCATAAAAATAATGCATGGGATCTTGTGCCACTACCACAAGGAAGGAAGCCAATTGGTAACAAATGGGTCTTCAAAATCAAGCGAAATGGTGATGATCAAGTTGAGAGGTATCGTGCAAGACTGGTGGTCAAAGGATATGCTCAAAAAGAATGTATTGATTTCAATGAAATATTTTCTCATGTGATTCGACTAACAATAGTTCGAGTAGTTTTGGCAATGTGTGCTACATTGAACTTACATCTAGAGCAGCTAGATGTTAAAACAGCTTTTCTTCATGAAATCTTGAAGAAAAGATTTACATGCTCCAGCCTGAAGGTTTTGAAGAAAAAGAAAAGAAGAACTTGGTTTGCAGGTTGAACAAATCTTTGTACGGTCTAAAGCAGGCGCCGAGGTGTTGGTATAAGAGATTTGATTCTTTCATTATGTGCCTTGGATACAACAGACTTAATGCAGACCCTTGTGCTTATTTCAAGAGGTCTGGTGATAACGATTTTGTTATATTGCTGTTGTATGTGGATGACATGTTGGTTGCAGGACCCAAAAAAGATCATATTGAAGAATTGAAGGCACAACTGGCTAGGGAATTTGAAATGAAGGACTTGGGATCAACAAACAAGATTCTAGGGATGCAAATTCACCGAGACAGAAGTAATAGGAAGATTTGGCTTTCACAAAAGAATTACTTAAAGAAAATCTTGTCACGATTTAGCATGCAAGATTGTAAGCCAATTTCTACCCCTCTTCCTATTAACTTCAAATTATCCTCCAGTATGAGTCCTAGCAGTGTATAAGAGAGGATGGAGATGTCTCGAGTACCGTATGCATCAGTAGTGGGAAGCTTAATGTTCGCTATGATATGCACAAGACCAGACATTGCACAAGCAGTGGGAGTGGTTAGTCGGTACATGGCGAATCCAGGCAAAGAGCATTGGAATACAGTAAAGAGGATCCTAAGATACATCAAAGGGACCTCAAACGTTGCATTATGTTACGGATGATCAAACTTACTAATCAATGGGTATGTAGATTCTGACTATGCAGGGGATTTGGATAAAAATAAATCTACTACAGGAGATGTGTTCAAAGTTGCTGGTGGAGCTGTAAGCTGGGTTTCAAAATTACAGTCAGTTGTGGCTACATCCACAATAGAGGCAGAATATGTAGCAGCTACACAAGCTAGTAAAGAAGCAATTTGGTTGAAGATGCTATCGGAGGAGCTTGGGCACAATCAAGAGTATGTCTCTCTATTTTGTGACAGTCAAAGCGCCTTGCATTTAGCAAGGAATCCAGCATTTCATTCAAGGACAAAGCACATACGAGTTCAGTACCATTTCATTCGTGAAAAGGTGGAACAAGGGACGATAGATATGCAGAAAATCCATACCAAAGACAACATAGCAGATTTCATGACGAAGGTGATCAATACTGATAAATTTACTTGGTGTCGATCCTCCTGTGGCCTGTCAGAGACGTAAGCAACATGATGGTACAAGGTAGAAAGAATGGTGTGAAGATATGATTGTTCCAATCAAATCTTCAAGTGGGAGATTGTAGAAAGTCAAAAATAATAAATGGGTTGGCACCGAAAATTAGGTGCATAATTTTTTTTATTTTTTATATGGTCAAATTACAAACTCTAGTCACTAAAATTTAGGGTATTTACAAGATTAAGTTCTTAAGATTTAGCTATAAATACCCTATCTCATTTAGCTTCAAAACCATCCCAAAGCATTCTAGCTTTCTTTCAATACTAGAGAGAATTTAGAGAGTTTCTTGAGAGTTGTTTTCTCTTTTTTATCAAGAGAGAATTATCATTGTTTTCTCTTTGGTCGATCGAGAGAAGTTGTAGTTCCTATTTTCTCATAGTGAAATTCTTCTACCGTTGCCCGTGGTTTTTACCCTAAATTTTTAGGGGTTTTCCACGTAAATTTTGTCTCTTTTATCTTCAATTTTTATTTTCTCAAATTATCAGTTGCGATTTTGCTCTATCCGATAGCCGTCTTACGCAACATTTTCAACTGCAATGCGTTTACAGCATGCAAACAATGACGAGAGAGACGCAATGCTCAATTTTGTTCCCGGTGGAAAGGTTGACAATTGTACAGCTAAATTTTATTTTTTGAAATAAATAAATTGATTTTTAAAAAAAATCTAAATTACATTGTTTTGTATGTGTATCGGGAATAAATTCAGGCATAAATAAAAGATATTTTTTTAAATGATTAGAAATAATCCAAATACTCTAAGCTTCTACAACTTCTCTGTCGTCCTTCAGATCCTTAATCCTTTCCTTTTTAGATGTAATACCATCTATTTGTTGTTCAAGAGCTATCTGGCAACGGAGGGCCGGGACTGACCATGGATGGTTCAGGCATTGAGCTGTTGTGGGTCTGATAAATTCGTCTTATCTATATGTGTGTCTTCTTATCTAAATTACCTTGTTTTGTATATGTATCGGGAATATATTCAGGACTATATGAATTGGTTAAATAAATAATAAGATAAATATAAAATAATTTTAAATTTATTTGTGAAAAAAACTTGAACAGAAAATGCCCAAATAATTTTCATGTTATACATGTCAAAAATATAAACACAGACCATGCAAATAATAATATGCATGCCCGTGATTAACTTGGAACATTCTATCAACATTTTTTTCCGCAAACAAAATTTAAGACCACGTCTATATGTTTCGTACAGACATGCAGCATTAGATTCACAATTATCGTTATCGCGCACCATATGTTCAAAACAAGTTCAAACCTCATCTCCTTAAGAATCGACTGCACCCACAACAGTTGTATTTGTCAAACTCATATATTTAACCTCTGCATTAGATTAAAGGACTAACATTTGTTTCTTAGAACTTCACAATATCAGATTGGTTCCAACAAAAGACACTATCGTGAATCGGGTTGAACGACCTTTGAACTGCAATTTGGTTGAACCGATTTTTGAAATTTTAGACACCATCTTTTGGGTCAAACCCCAAAATTAGTCCAATACCCAATACTTATTCGAAAGTCCATTATAATCCATTTAGTCAATTATCCAAATTAATCATGTATTCATAATTGTTGTTAATATGTGAATTTTTCCCTTTTTTATTTATAAATTAAAAATTGATTGAATTGATAATCGAATTGGGAATCAGTAACCTGATTGGTTTGAACACTAATTTAATTTAAAAGCATTGAAGATAATAACAAAAAGTAAATAATCTTCTGACCTCCGTGATGCTACCAAATTAGCATAAAAAATGTTGCTACCTCAATGTTTCTTGGCTAAGGTTGATAACATTACATGTCTATATTTTCAAAATTTATTAAATTTTAAGAATTTGGTAATAATATTTTTAATAGGTTGAGGTTAGTATAAGGTAGTATTTGTTTAGGATTTTTCTCAGTCATTAACAGCGCATTTATACTCTACAAACATAATTACTCGAACACATAACTTTAAAGAATCATAATATTTAACCACTAAGATCACGCTCAACGGATTCAATTTGACAATAAACTTTAAGAATGACTATCTTTTATTGTAGTGAGTTTCAGGGTTCAAAATTTAAGAATAAACTAGAAAATGGTAATTATAAACAACATAGACTATAATTAATAATTTGTTGACAACATTACGTGTAGAGATTTTTTAAAATTTTCAAAATTTTAAGAATTTAGTAACAAATCTAAAGAATTATCATTTTTTGTTGTTGCCAGTTTTAAAATTTAAGAATGAAAAATAAAGCAATAATTAAAAACAACAAAAACCGTTATATAATTAATAATGTATTGATAACGTTATGTATCTATATTTTTTGAAACTTATTAGATTTTAAGATTTAACAGTAAATCTAAAGAATGATCATCTTTTATTAATTGTGAGTTTTAGGATCCAAATTTTAAAAATAAGATAAAAATAATAATTACAGACAACGTAAACTTTATATAATTAGTAATTTGTTGACAAACTACGCGTCTAGATTTTTCGAAACTTATTAAATTCTAAGAAATTGGTAATAAATATAAAGAATTACCATCTTTTATTGATGGTAAGTTCAAGAATCCAGATTTTAAGAATGAAATAACAAATTATAATTACAAGCAATGAGAAGTTTGTGTGATTAGTAATTTGTTAAACATTACACATTTAGCTTTTTTTTTAAAATTATTAAATTATATTATTTGACAATAAATCTAAGGAATGATTATCTTGTATTTACCGTGGGTCTTAGAGTCCAAAGTTTAAGAACAAATAGGAAATGATGACTAAAAACAATGTAAATATAACAGTGGAAGAAAGAATGAACAATGAATGTTTTGTATTATTATTCACGCAAAGAATAAAAGTAGACCCAGCTTATATAAGTCTGTAAACCCAACTAACAAAGCTACTAGAAAGAACTAAAACTAAATAACTAACTAAAGTAGTTACTCTAACACCCCTCTCAAGGTAGGACTGCATGAATATTAAGAAGTCCCAGCTTGGCCACAAACAAACGATACATGGGAGGTTGTAATGTCTTTGTGAAAATATCAGCTAATTGATTTGAAGAACCAACATGAAGCAGCTTCAAAAACCCATCTTTAATTTTGTCTCGCACAAAATGACAATCAATTTCGATGTATTTCGTGCGTTCATGAAACACTTGATTGATAGCAAGATGAACAGCAGTCTGGTTATCGCAAAACAGCTTCACATGAGGTATGGAAATATTAAAAGAAGAAAGCAATGAGGCCAACCAAACCAATTCACATGTAACAATAGCCATTGCATGATATTCTGCTTCACAAGACGAGTGACTAACGGTGGCCTGCTTCTTGGATTTCATGAAAGAAGAGCGTCTCCTAAATAAGTACAATACCCCGAAGTGAAACGCCTTGTATATGGACACGAGCCATGATCTAAATAAATAAAACCACTCAGTTGTAAAATGGAATTTGCCGGGAAGAAAATGGTAAGACCACGGGATTGTTTGATGTACGCCAAAAGATGTCTAAAAGCCGACATGTGAGGCACACGAGGAGCAAAAACAAATTGGCTTAGCAAGTGAACCGTGTACACAATGTTTGGTCTCATATTTGTGAGATATAATAGTCTTCCTACCAGCCTCATATACTATTGAGAATCAGACAATGGTTCGCCATCATCAGCATTAAGTTTTAAGGAATGCACCATGGGAGCTTCAACAGGCTTCATGCCTAGACAACCCGTGTCATCTAAGAGCTGTATGCCATATTTCCTTTGGGACAAAGAAATACCATCTTTATTACGAGCAACTTCAAACCCCAAGAAATAACACAAAGGTCCCAACACCTTGAGCTTGAAATGCTGCTGCAGGAAAACTTGAACCTCGGATAACTAATCCAAGTTTTTTTCCGGCTAAGACAATGACATCAACGTAAATTAAGAGAGCAATAAAGTCATCACCCTAACCTCTTGTAAACGAGGAATGCTCGAATGGAGACTGCTGAAAACCAAACTTCAAAACCACACCAGAAAAGGCGGTAAACCATTGCCTGGAAGCTTACTTGAGCCTATATATAGATTTATGTAATTTGCACACCATGTTCGAACCCTTCAGCTGAGTGTTATAACCAAGAGGTAGCTTCATGTAAACTTCTTCATCTAACTCTCCATTTAAAAAAGTGTTATTGACATCGAGCTAAAGAAGATGCCAATCTTGAGTTGCTGCTAAGGTAAGTAAGAGTCGAAAAGATATCATCTTGGAAACAGGCGCGAAGGTTTCCATGTAATCAATACCTTCAACATGCGTAAAACCTTTTGCCACTAGTCTGGCCTTGTAACGATCAATTGTTCCATCAGCCTTGTGTTTGATACGATAGACCCATTTGCAATCAATTGGTTGCTTCCCTTCAGGAAAATTAACTACTGACCCGGTTTGCAAAGATTCCATGGCTTGAAGCTCTTCATGCATCGTTTCTCTCCAACCAGGAGACTTGACTGCCTGATGGTAAAATGACGGTTCATGAGAGGAAGAAACATTGGCTATAAAACCAGTATATTCAGAAGACAACTTTGCCGATGATAAGTGATCTTCAATAGGATAAGAACAAACATTGCAATAATACTGTTAGAGGTATGGCGGCTTTTGAATCACCCGAGAATATCATCGAGATGGGACTTAAACCACATGATTTGTACATGAAATTATCTTAGGAATAACAGATTAAGCACAAACCTACTCCTCAACAAAACCAAGAATCATTGCAGGTACTGTCCCAGCAGATTGTTGAAAAACAATGATAGGTGTAGAAACTCCAGGCTGCTCAGAATTATGGGAGCATGCAGCAGGTTCCTCCACTGAGGCATGACTTTGCTAAAAATAAGTGTCCACCAAATCATTAATAACATGTGGCAAGAAAATATCTTTAAAAAGATCAATGGAATGATCCAAATCATTGATGCTATGAAAAGGAAAAATGTGTTCATGAAACACTATCACGAGAAATCACATTCTTCCGAGTCTTCAAGATGTACACTTTATGACCCTTTACACCTGATGGATAGCCAAGAAACATTACTGGTAAAGTACGAATAGAAAATTTATCCCTCTGTGACTTCAAGGTGGAAACAAAACAAATGCACCCAAATGTCTTCAAATGACCATAATCTGGAAGGTGGCCATGCAAAATCTCATAGGGAGACTTATTACCCAACTTAGGTGAAGGCAACCTGTTGATTAGATAAGTGGTAGTGAGAAGACAATCGCCCAAAAACGAATAGGAACTCTAGACTGAAAAATAAAGCCCGAGCAACATAAAGCAAGTGTTGATGCTTCCTTTCAACTACTGAATTTTGTTGTGGTGCATCAACGCAAGAAAACTAATGTAAAATACCCAAGCGAGCAAACAAATCTGTAAATTTTAGTTCAGGTGCATTTTCAGACCAAAAACAGTTAATGTCAGCCCCAAACTATCTCTTAACCATGGCAATGAATGCTAGAATAATGGAACCAACATCAGACTTATACTGAAGCATGTAGGTCCAAGTCGATCTTGAAAAATCATCAACTAATGTTAAAAATAAAGTCTATTTCGAGTACGTTGCATGCTTATAAGAACCCCATATATCACAGTGAATCAAATCGAATGGTTGTTTTGTATTTATAAAAGAATTAGAAAAAAGAAGTCGTTGTTGCTTGGCCAAAGGACAAATATGGCAAATACTCTTCTCATTAACACGTGTCAAATCCAATACATCTTTAATAATATGAATTACATGAGAACTAGGATGCCCTAGTTTATTACGCTAAGAATAAAAAATGTTGCTAATAACACTATTACAAGAAATTTCAGCAACAAAAGGAGACAGTTTCAAAAGATAAAGTCCTTGAAGTAGCTCACTCTTCCCAATCACCTGATGCAAGTCCTGAATCAAACATTTCGTTTTGCAAAAGAGCACACTAAGACCAAAATCACGAGTCAGATACTAATAGATAATAGATTGAGACGAAACACCGGAGCAAATAAGACATCATGTAGAACAAAATCAATAGACAATCTAACAGTCCCAACACAACTGACTGCAATGACTGATTTATCTGGCAAACCACGAACCATTTGAGATAGGAGTCAAAGACTTAAAAAGTGACATTGAAAAACAAACGTGCTTAGAAGCACCAGAATCCAAGATCCAATAATTGGATTTCTTAAAAGATAAATTATTGATATGAGATAGGATCTCACCCTGCATGGCTGAATTAATCGAAAAGAAAGGAATATCACAAGAAGATGTAGCCTGAAGTTGAGTAGTGAGCATGGCAATCAACTGCTAACATTGTTGAGAAGTCAAAGCATCAGAGGGCGAAAACAAAATCTGTTGAGAACCTTCACTAGGTGGAGCAACTACTAAACCGGATGAACATTCTTAGAATTTGAAGAGTTAGAGGAATGAGAATAACCAGGAGGATAACCATGCAACTTATAACACTTATCTTTTGTATGACCAAGCATGTTGCAATAGATGCACTGTGGACGATTCTTGCGAGGGTCATGAGCGGTTTTGACAGCAAAAGAAGCTTCAACAACAAGATTAATGTTCTTGACCAATCTTTGGTTCTCTTCTTGAACAATCAACGAGAAAACCTTCGAGATCGAAGGCAACGGATCCATCAAAAGAATCTGCCTACGAACATGAGCGTAGGAGTCATTCAATCCCATCAAGAACCAGAGAAATTGTTCTTATTGTTGTTCATCAAGCATCCGACGAACCCCTCCACAAAAAAGCTCATCCCATACTATTTTCAACTGAGTATAGTAAACTCTCACCGACTGTTGACCTTGAACCAAATCATTCAGCCGTTTCTTTAATTGAAACAATCTTGGACCATTATATTGTTGAAATCTCTCAACAAGATCCCTCCAAATGTGTATTGCAGTGGTATGATAAAGCAGACTTACAGCAATGTCCTTGGAGACTGAGTTTAATATCCAATAATTCACTAGGTTGTTAGTCCTGGTCCAAGCGTGAAACAATTCTGGAGATGATGGATCATGAGCAGTGATCGAACCATCCATAAAATCTAGCATATTCTTGGCAGAAAGTGCAAGCGTCATGGATCATTTCCAGTTGTGGAAATTATTGGTTGATAATGGTTGTGTAACCAGAACCATTCCCGGATTATCTGATTGATGCAAATAATATGGATTGCTTTCATTATCAAAAATATCGCTCAAAGAGGAAGTCATGGCGAAACGTGATGAGAAAAGAAAACCTGACTCTAATACTATATAACAGTGGAAGAAATAATGAACAATGAATGTATTGTATTATTATTCACGCAAAGGATACAAGTAAACTCAGCTTATAAAAGTCTATAAACCCAACTAACAAAGCTACTACAAAGAACTAAGACTAAATAACTGACTAACTAACTGAAGTAGTTACTCTAACAATAAATTTTATATAATTAATAATTTGTTGACAAATTATGCGTCTAGATTTTTTTGAAATTTATTAAATTTTAAGAAATTGGTAATAAATCTAAAGAGTTGCCATCTTTTATTGATGGTAGGATCTAGAATCCAGATTTTAATAATGAAATAACTAATAATAATTACAAGCAATGTGAAATTTGTATAATTAGTAATTTGTTAATAACATTACACATTTTGATCTTTTTCAAAATTAGTATTTGAAATCTAAGGAATGATTATCTTGTATTGACTGCGAGTTTTAAGGTCCAAAGATTAATAATAAAATAAGAAATGATAATTAAAAACAACGTAAATTTTATATAATTAAGTAATTTGTTGACAACATTGCACGTTTATATTTTTTAATTATTAAATTTTAAGAATTTGGAAATAAATCTTGGGAGGGGTTATCTTTTAGTGATAGTGATTTTTAAGGTTCAAATTCAATAATAAAATACGAATTAGTAATTACAAACAACGTAAACTTCATATAATTAGTAATTAGCAACGATATTACGTGTTTAAATTTTTTAAAATTTATTAAATTTTTAGAATTTGGTAATAAATAGAAGGAATTACCATGTTTTATTGGTAGTGAATTTAAAAATCTAATTTTAGGAACAAGATATAAAATAGTAATTACAAACAACGCAAACTTTGTATGATTAGTAATTTGTTGATAACATTACACATCTAGATTTTTTTTAAATTTATTAAAATTTAAGATTTAACAATAAATTTAAAGAGTGATTGTATTTTATTGATAGTGAGTTTTAGGATCTAAATTTTAAGAATGAAATAGGAAATTTAAATTTATATAATTAATAATTTGTTGATAACATTACACGTATATATTTTTTAAAATTTAAGAATTTGGTAATAAATCTAACGAATTACCATCTTTTATTGGTTGTGGGTTTTAAAATATATTTTTAAGAAAAATATATATAAAAATAATAATAATTACAAATAACAAACCTTAAATGATTAGTAACTTGTTAGTAACATTAAACATCTAGATTTTTTTAAAATTTATTAAATTTTAAGATTTAACAATAAATCTAAAGAGAATTATCTTTTATTGATAGTGGATTCTAGGATCTGAATTTTAAGAATAAAATAAAAAACATAAATTTTATATAATTAATAATTTGTTGACGACATTACACGTATAGATTTTTAAAAAATTATTAAATTTTAAGTATTTAGTAATAAATAAAGAATTGCGTAATAGATTTTAGGATCCAAATTTTAAGAATAAAATATAAAATAGTAGTTACAACCAACGTAAACCTTGTATAATTAGTAATTTGTTAATAACATTATGTGTCTAAAATTCATTAAATTTTAAGAATTTAATAATAAATCTTAAGAATGGTTATCTTTTAACGATAATGAGTTTTATAGCCTATTATTTTTTAAAAATAAAATGATAATTACAAACAATATAAATCTTATATATTTAGTAATTTCTTTAGACCTTTTAAAATGTATAAATTTTTAAAATTTGTAGATAATTTTTAAGAAGTTTTATCTATATAAATTTTAGGGTATTTTTTTGTCTTAAATAATAATTATTAACAAGCCCCTAAATAATAATTACTAACAATGGAGATTTTATATAATTAACAATTTATTGGGTTCATTACGTGATTAAACAATCTAAAATTTATTTACATCTCAAAATAATCATTAACGGTCTCCGGTACCTTACATTGATTTTTAAAGATTTTGTGGTCTATATTTTTAAATAAAATAAAAATTATCAACAATGTATACCTTTCATGACCTTTAAAATTTAAAAAATTGATAGTGATATACATATCATTTGACTTAATACAAGATAAATATGAAATAATTATTAGATTTGAGTTTTAAAATAAAAATGTAATGTAATATTTAAATAAACACAGCAAATTGAAACATTGAGATCTAGAGAGTAAAATAAAAACATGACCTAATCTCACAAATTTCTTTTAATGTATTTGGAATGAAATTGAATACCAGATAATTTACTTAGTTTACGAAAACTAATTACGATTCTTTAATCGTTTTTTTTAGTTCTTTCATAAAAAATGGACTATAAATGGAAAATTATGAAGGCATTAATTTTGGTTGTTTACATTTTTAAACATTAAAAGCGAAGTATTATTTTCTTGCTATGAAAAAAACATTTTAGGAGTAAGGGGTTGTTTGTTTACTTCAGAATGATTAAGCGCTGAATGATTCAAATGCTGAATGATTCAGAGGCTCTGTATGAATTAGCTCTATATGTGACATGTTGCTTAATAATGGCTATGAATCATTCAGAATGTACTTCTGTATTGAATCATTCAACACTGTTTTGTTGAATCAGTCAGAATTGAATCATTCAGAGGTGCGAAACAAACGCGCTGAATGATTCTATTAAGAGGCAAACAAACATCCCTTAAGTTTAAGTTTGAAATAAAGTTGCTGTTGTAGCCCATTGTATTTCCCCCCCCCTCTTTTTAAAAAGCAAGTACTATTATTTTTCGAGTGATTTTTCAAAGTTATGTCAAAAATGTTAAATGGTGACCAGCAGAGATCAACCATTTTTTTCATAAAAAGGTCAAAAACAATATATAGATAAAGTAAAAAAGAAATACATATATATATATATATATGAGGAATTAAACTAATATTAAAGTAAGGCTAGAAACTTTAGGCATTCGGAATATTATTATCTGTAGTTACTGTTTACCGCTTTATACTTTGCTTTACTTTAACGCTCCGAAAATTTCATTTTTAATGATTTATTTCATTCATTAATGTCTTAAGTTACCCCTTTTAAGATTCTTGTACAAAATAATATATTATTTAATTCTCATATCAATAAATGAATATTAATGACATAGAAGAATCTTAAATACGAATATTATATCTGACCTGTGAATTAAATCAACACCTTCATTGAAAATTTATAATTGTCTTTTAAAAATATTTATTTGTAGTCGTCTAATTTTAAAATATTTTTTTGTTATCATTATATGTTAATAAAGGTAAAAGAAATTCTTTAAAATTTAAATAAAATGTTAATTTAATGTTTAAATTTATATAAAACGTTAGCTTTAGAAGGATTAGAAGGCATGGTCGGGACTGATATTAAAATTCGTTGATCATGATCGTCTTCGAAAACTTCTACAACAGGTATTGACTTAAAATAATTTGGTGTGCTCACATTCACGGCATTATGTGAACGACTCTTTTCTAGTCTCTCCCGATTGGCTATAATTACTGGTAAAGAATGGTAGCGGAGTTATGAACTTTACTCGTCGTTGAAGAATCAAACATAAAAAGATCTAAGCTTTATCAAAGAAGGAAGGGAAAAGAGATGGAAGGGCACTGATAATTAAAATCTGTAGGGTCTTTTGAAAAGTGAATAGGAAGAATGTGATAAAAACAATAAAGATAAAATAAAGATAAATAATAATTATAATAATAATAATAAAAATAAAAATATGATAGGAATAACTTAGTTAAGTTAGGGTTTTGTTGGTGATGGGCGAAAATGGTTATTCAATGATGATGATAATGATAATGATTGATAGATAGTTGTCCTATGAATCCTCCTAGTCGCAATTGATTAGGCACACTCGATAATCAGCTCTAACCAGCCTCCTAATCGCAATGAGAAGGCAAATCGGAGTGTGAAAATATTTCTCACGAAGAACTTGAAAGAACTTAATGATGAAGAATGCTTCGAAGACACAAGGCAATCAACATTTGCATAACGAACTCTCGTTGTATTATATTCAAGAAAAGATGTGTTTACAATGGCGGGAAAAACCTCCTTTATATAGGGTGAGAAGTTCTTGTTGTAACATAACTAATGAATAAAAGATAACGTTTCGAGTATATCCTAATTCCTAATAAAATAATAATTAACTAGGAATAATGTTTTAATTTGATCTTAATTCCTAATAAAATAATTAATCTAATTTTAAAAGACAATGTATTTAAATTATATTACAAATAATTAATAAAATATTAAAAATTTGTAATATTTAGAAATTGATCTTTTAAGGTATGTTAAAGATATTTTTAAGATTGTCTCTCATTGTATTATTGATTGATCATGAAGTTTAAGTTGTTAAAATAGTAAGAATGAGTAATGAATTTCCTTTATTGAATTCTTCAATATCCATGTGTAAAGTTTCTTGCTGACAAAGGCTTAAACCTCGACTTGAAGCTTGTCTTTCAAAAGTTTATACTTAACCCGTGTAATTAGATCGCAACGTGTCGTGCATATATCAATCACGCATGTTTCAATATCAGGTCGAGACGTGGCATTCAGTGGCAAAGAGTTTAAAGGTAATTTAGAAATACCCTCTACGAAAGCAACTTCCTTGGCAAGAATCGTCAGATATTTCCTACTTTCGGAGGATTTGAATTTTTATTTTTATTTAAATTCCCACTTTTATCCTTTTAGATAGTCAATTGCCGAAAGCAGTTTACGGGTACTGGAATGGTCCCCACTTTAATTAGAAAAGATAAATCCCACTTTAATTAGTGTAAAATTTAATTTATATAATATTGTTAGTTTTAGTGTTAAATTTCAAAATTTCAAAATAAACTAAATGATATTAAAATAAATAAAATTTTAATATTCCCTGTTTCTAATGTTAATATATAAATGAAAGAATACAGTAGCAGCGGGGGAGCTCACCGCAGCTCTGCACGGAGTAACAACTACATATAAATCATTGCATCATCAGCGCCGCCGCTTACAGGTTACTGGAGAAAATACTGCTTTGCTTTATTTTTGTCGTTTTGTGGATTGCAATGGATGGCAGGTATCTTGGCTGGAATAAAAACAAACAAGACGGGGCACGGATGGTTTAGTCGGAGAAGTGAACAAAGTCTCGGGGGGGGGGTGAATGTTGAAACAAATTAAATACTAATCCGTGTTTAGTTTATACCTTAAAATAAATAAACAATTTTTTTTATCTAATATGATTATTAAAAGAGATAAATTATATGAGTAGAATTTTAAAGTGCTGTCTAATAATAATTTTAAAAACTTATATTATTTTTCTCTTTGAATAATTAAAATATATGTTTTGATTAAAGTAAATATATACATGTATTTTTATTAAAATAACTATTTAATTATTTTTTTATCAAAATAATTACTTGAAGTATACAATTTCTTTATCTATATATTTACGTGACGCTGTTTAAGAATACTTTATTTATTTATATTAAAATATTAAATACTTTAAGTATCTATTTTGATTAAAAAATATTTAAGTATTTATTTTGATCAAAAGATAACTTCAAATACTTATTTTTGATAAAAATTACTTGAGATAATTTTTAAAAAACGATATACTTATTTATCATGTAAGAAAAAAACTGTTATTTAATTAACTTAAGGAAGGATTGAATGTTACAAAAATAAGGAAGGATTAAGTGTTAGAGAGATAAAGATTTAATGTAAATTATTTTAGTTGATAATACTTTTTAAAAATATAAAATAATTTAATAGATTTAATCATAAGTGATAAATAATAATTTATCTAATCATATATCATATATATTAAATAATACGACAAATATCAAACAATAATTTCTATAATTTTGACAAACGACACCTTAATTGAATTATTAAATTTTATTCTATAAAGAATATAAAATGTATAATTAATTTTTAATGTATTTTATTAAATGCATAAAATTATTGTATGTATTTTTCCAGCAACATTGTATATATATATATGTATATATATATTCAATGAATTAAAGATAAAGTAAAACCAAAAATTATTTTGCAACATGAACATGGTTAGAGTATTTTTTTATAGTTTGTTCAGTTGTTGTGATTTATTTGTTGTTGCAATTCGATCTATTTATATTTATCTCATGTTTCAGTTTTTTGGATTATTTTTGAAATTTGTTTTTTTTGTATGATCGTCGTGTGATCTCAAGTGATTAGTTTCTTGTGTCAATGATTATTGAAATATATCATGATTATTTTGTTTAGTTTATGTTTATAGTTATAAACCGTCATTCTAATTTTAAATATTTTTTATTTTCAATAAAATTAGTGGATTATATTTACTTAAAAAATTTAGAAACTAAACAAAAATTTAAAATTTAAATATTTAAAAAATAATAATTTAAAGAAAATTAAAAGGTATAATTTAAATAATCATGTGAAATAATGAAATATTTAAATGATTATCAAGTTTTAAAAAGTGTGGAAATCAGATTTAAAATAGTTTGAGATTTAATAAGTGTCAGTTTTGAAAAGTGCATGTACTCCGATAGTTTTGGTAGTAAATGAATTATTATTATTTTTTGAGGTATTTGGTTCGAGCATTAAAATGTCAGAAGTACGAGCTTTTAATGTTAAAAGAATGAGAGTTATATTTAAATATATATTACCTTGTACTTACCTTATATTAATAAAATAATTAAGATTAGAATTTTGATTTTACGACGGTTGTAATTGGTTTTTTTCGGTTGTTCATTTTTTTATTAATTTAAGATAGGTAGTTTTAATTTTCATTTAATTTATTAGCAATACATATACATTTTACAAATAAAATTGCTGAAACATAGCATTATTTAAAAAATTACGTCATAATAAGACATAAAATTATATTTATTTTTGATACCAAATATACAACATTAAAAAAGTCAAGTTGCAACGATAGCCAATGTTTTGATATATTCGTTTAATGATTTTTATTCTTACTGTTTTTATTTTGATGTACGTTGCTTTTTTTTTTATATTAAAAAGGAAAAAAATTGTCATCGAGCAAAAAGATTTCAGCAGGACTGATCTGTCATTTCCTTTCATTAATTGGGACAAATCCGTCACAAACTACAGATCTAGGGATCAATATACCGCCAACTAAAGGGGTCAAGTCCGGTTTTGTTTGGATTATGAACTCGGGTCGACTCAGTTAAATTATCATATATATTAAAAATGAACCTAAAGAGAGTAAAATCACAATGGAAAATGGGAACAAATCGGTTTTTTTCTTCTTCAAAACAGAAAACGGGTCATTTGGGAATTGGGATTTTTTATAAGGAATTTGGTAAAATGACCCGAACTCGGAGCCACTCCCCCCATAAAGTGAGTCATTTTTCACACGTCTTCCCAAAGTCCGCATCCACTTCTACTATAAATTGGCTCACTCTTCACATCCTCTCCCCGTAATCTGAATTGTCGTTTCAAAAGTCTCTCCCCCTGACAACTCTCTTTTCAGTTTTTGCTTTTCGCTTTTGAATCTTCGTTCTTTTGCAGTTTTATTGCAATGTCTGGTCGCGGTGGTGGTCGTGGCGGTGGCGGAGGCCGTGGTGGTGGAGGACGTGGTCGGGGACATGATTCTGGTCCCGGTCAACCTTCTCAGTCTTTTCCTCGCGGCGGTGGAGGCGGTAGAGGAAGGGGCCGTGACTCTGGAAGGGGACGTGGATCATCTGGTCCTCCTGCCTCTTATACCCCGCCTCATCCACAGGCGGCTCCTGCTCGGCAACCTCCTCCTCAGGCGGCTCCGGCTCGGCAACCTCCTCAGGCGGCTTCTGCACATCAACCTCCTCAGGTGATTCCCTCTCATCAGCCATCGTCTAGTGCGGAATCACTGAGCAAAGAAGTATCTCAGAAACTTACATTGTCTCCTGTGGCTGCAACGACGTCGTCTTCTCTTCCTCCGTCGTCGACTAAGGCGATTAGTTTCCCGAGAAGGCCAGGTTTTGGAACTGTCGGTACAAAATGCATGGTTAGAGCGAATCATTTTCTGGTAGATGTTGCTACCAGTGATCTTCATCACTACGATGTACTTTCTCTCCCTTTCTCCCTCCATTTGTTTTTAATCGCTTTAATCATTTCTACACAGAAGGATTTAGCTAATACCGATTTTTTCAATAACAACCTAAAGGGAAATTTTAACTATCAATGGTTTGCTTAGATGAGTTATACTTTTGTATGGTTCATATATTTTAATTTCAATATTTATTCCTTTTTGTTAATTTTCATTTACCTCATTGCCCGTCTCTGTTTTCTTGCATTTTTTTTCTCGTATCTTTTAAAGACGTTTGATATTTCATTTATCCTTTAAATTTTTGTCAGTTTATTTTCCTTGTTCTAACCGTTTTATATTTTATTGTTATATCTCTGTTTTATTTTGACATATCTATACAGAGAAGGCTTTCGTAATCACTACGTTTTTAAAAAAAAAAATAATGGATTGTTTCTCCGTACACGAACTTGCTTTAATGAATTCCTGTATTTGTTTTAGTTCATTATTGATATGTTGGTTTCTTTCTGCTTTTTTACGTCGTTGTCCATCTCTGTTCAGTTGCATTTTCTTCGACTCTCTTTTAACAGCTTTTGATATCTTCTTCATTACTTGCAGGTTACTATAACACCAGAGGTAACTTCTAAAAAGGTAAATAGAGAGATAATGAAGGAGCTTTCTACGACATACAAAGATTCGCACCTCGGTAATCGACGTCTTGCCTATGATGGAAGGAAGAGCTTTTACACTGCTGGGGCTCTCCCATTTGAGTCGAAGGAGTTTGTTGTTAACTTACTTGATACAGATCGTGGCCAGAGTTCATCTACTACAGCGAGGTAATATTCTTGCATTTATTGATGCTGTATTGACATTTTGTATTTGATTTGATCTTATTATTTTTCTTTGATCTTTCTGGTCGTTTGTTATTGCAGGAGGGAACGACAATTTAAGGTAGCAATCAAACTTGCATCCAAGCCCGACATATATTTCCTTAAGGAGTTTTTGAGCAGAAGGCATATTGAATGCCCTCAAGAAACTATTCAAGTACTGGATGTTGTTCTTAGGGCTGCCCCATCTGAGAGGTACTTGCCTGTTCACTATGGTCCTACATTTCTTGTTATTAAATCTCTGAAATCATTTTATACTAAATCAAATTAATAAATCTGAAACATTGTTTTGCAGATATAATGTAGTTGGAAGGTCATTTTTCCATCCATCATTAGGCTCAAAAGGGGCGCTTGGTAATGGAATTGATTACTGGACAGGATATTATCAGAGTCTTCGACCTACACAGATGGGTTTATCACTTAATATTGGTAACTATTCTATTGACTGTTAATTTTGTGGCTGCTTTTTACTCAATGCTGAAGTTTTACTGGTTTCCCCTTTTATGTCTGTTTTCACTTTTCAGATGTGTCTGCTCGGTCCTTCTATGAGCCACTTTTGGTTTCAGATTTTGTTATGAAACATTTCCAACGTCCTCAAAACTTGAAAAGGCCTTTGTCTGATCAAGATCGTATTAAAGTAGTATTTCATCTTAACACTAATATTTTCTATTTTCTGCAACTAGACCCATATTCAATTCAGTCTTTATAGACCAAAATGGTTGAAAATTTCTTACAATGTTTCTATTGTCTAATTATTTAGGTGAAAAAGGCCTTAAAAGGAGTGAAAGTTCAGCTGACTTACATGAAGTATCCCAAAACTTCGAAGATTGTTGGCATATCTAGGGAGCCTATAAGTCAGCTGATGTAAGTTTGTTATAACACTATAGGAAGCTACATTTATGGGCTAAGTATGGTTGAATCGTTGGGTTACTTGTGATGATCTTTATGTTCTCTCCTATCTTTCTTACCTGTTCAAACTGAGTATGGTTGACTTGATTTTGTTATCCTTGTTGTAGTCTTGTATTTACCATGTTTAAACTGAGTTGGTGTTATTTATTTGCAGTTTGCAGTATTTTGTTTGGTCATAATGTCTTCAAAAATGTTTCTTAGCATGGAAGTTAGTCAATAGCTACCACCTTTGTTTTGCAATAACCTTAAGCTACCATTTGTTTAATGTGGGGTACTAAATATTTAAATTCAAATAGTTGACATATGTAATTGTTAAACTGGGGTACTAAATATTTAAATTCAAATAGTTCACATGTGTAATAGTTGTACTAGTATATTTGTTAGTCATTGACTACCACCTTTGTTGTGCAATAACTTTAAGCTATCATTTTTTGAAACTGTTTTATGAAAGTGAAGTACTAAATTTTTAAAGTCAAATTGCTGATATAGATAATAATTGTACTATTACATTTATATTCCCTAACATTTTATGCTTTTGTCTGATATTTGTTCCATTCTCGCTGTGGTTCTTAGGTTTTCTTTTGATGATAAAAGTACAAAAGTTTCTGTTCCCCAGTATTTCCGTGAGAAATACAACATTGTGCTTCAACTTACATACTTGCCTGCCATTCAAACTGGAAGTGATGCTAGACCTGTCTACTTGCCAATGGAGGTTCTCGCTTCATATTGACATGATTTTTGTTTCTTTTCTCTCTCTTTTTTTTTAACTATGTTCTTCTAATGATTTTGTTATACAGCTTTGTAGGATTGTTGAGGGCCAACGATATATAAAAAAGTTGAATGAACAACAAGTTCGACAATTGTTGAGAGCAACTTGTCAACGTCCAAATATTAGGGAGGAAAATGTTAGAAAGGTATGATAATGTTGAATGTTTTTAGCAGCATTTATTTTGTTGATGAGATAACAATTGTGATTTATTTATCATGTTTCTGCAGATGGTTGAAGTTAATAATTTTGAGGCAGATGATCTTGTCGGTAAAGAATTTGGAATTCATGTCCACAAAGATCTCGCTTTGATTAATGCAAGAGTTTTACCACCCCCAGTGGTACTAACATGTCAATACGTTATTATCTTCAAGGGAAGTCAAACTTCCTTTCTTATTTATAAACTAATCTCTGTTTGTCATGGTTGCTGCAGCTTAAGTACCATGATAGTGGAAAAGAACGAAGTGTTAGTCCTGGCTTCGGGTCATGGAACATGATCAATAAGGTGATATATTTTTTTTATATCTTATCTATGAAGTGTTTTTGAAAACAACACCCAGAATTATTCCAGTGTTTCATTCGCATCACCCTTCCAATTCATTTTAAGAGTTTTTATGGGTTTCCACTTTCCAGTGTCATTTGCTTGCAGTTTATGTTTGCTACAATCTTTTATTGTTTTATATTGGGTAATCTATTGTCAGGATTCAAGCATTCGTGTGTAGAAGTTCCTTTACTAGGTTTTTAAGGACATTTTTCTTGCAGAAAATGGTCAATGGTGGGAGACTGAATTTCTGGACTTGTGTGAACTTCTCCTCAAAGTATATGAATATGTCGGATGACTTTTGTTATGAGCTTGTGAACATGTGTAACAGCAAAGGAATGGTATGTTATGTAGTTTACTAAGTGCACATATCATATTTTTAATCTACTATTGACTGGCTTCATTTTCCATTTTTTTTACTTTAGGTGTTTCGTGAGACTGCATCAATCCCAATCCGATCAGCTCGATCGGATAGGATTGAACAAACTCTCTTGGATATTCACAGAGAGTCTGCTGGCAAGAATATGCCACTTCAGTTGTTGGTAGTCATCCTACCTGATCAAACTGGCTCCTATGGTAAGAGATTATGATATAATGTAAATGGGGTAATGTTGGTTTTTCTGTGTGCAATAAAACTCTTTTTACTTGTCAGGAAAAATCAAGCGAATTTGTGAGACTGAGCTAGGTATTGTTTCACAATGTTGCAAGCCTGATGTAGCTTCAAAGTTTAGCAAACAATATTTTGAAAACCTTGCTCTGAAGATTAATGTCAAGGTACTTTTTTCTGCCTCAGTGGTGATTTGATGCTTGTGCTGGCTCTTTGTTATTTTTAATTATTTTTTAGAATTGTTAATTAATTAGGTTGGGGGTAGAAATACGGTGCTGATTGATGCAATTCAAAAGAGACTTCAGCATGTGAGCGATAGGCCTACAATTATATTTGGTGCTGATGTCACTCATCCTCAGCCTGGAGAGGATTCGAGTTCTTCTATTGCTGCAGTAAGCATATTACTTGTTCTTTGTCATATCTTTTCTGTTCATCGTGTTAAAGGTTTTTGGCTTGGCTGCAGGTAGTTGCTTCTATGGACTGGCCTGAAGTAACAAAGTACCGTGGAATTGTCTCTGCACAGACACATCGGCAGGAAATAATCCAGGACCTCTATAAAAGAACTGAGGATCCTCAAAAGGGTATAGTTCATGGTGGTATGATAAGGTAGGGATGTAGATAGATTTATTTCAGGCTCTCGTCTTAGTTAATTGTTTTCTACTTCAGATTTATTTCAGGCTCTCGTCTTAGTTAATTGTTTTCTACTTCATTTATTAATAATTTCTTGTTCTCTTCAGGGAATTGCTCATTGCTTTCAGGAGATCAACCAATTTAAAACCTGAGAGGATTATTTTCTACAGGTGAACTTTTTCTGGCTATCCAATTCCTTGTACTTTTCTAGCTCTGTTGCTGATAACTGTTAATCTGACAGAGATGGTGTGAGTGAAGGTCAATTCAGTCAAGTTTTATTCGATGAAATGGATTCAATTCGAAAGGTATTCAAAGGGATAATCTTTTGTGGTGTTTCGTACCTTTTTGCAATTTCTTGGACAAAGCAACTTTGTGTTTTGAATAAAATTCTATCTTGACATGGACATTAACGCCAGCTTATTAATATGCTTAGTGTGTTTTTGCAATACTTTTTGGTCTTTAGTCCTTATGACACCTTTATTTTTAATCCTTCATCCAGGCTTGTTCCTCACTCCAGGAAGGATATATGCCACGAGTTACTTTTGTTGTGGTGCAGAAAAGGCATCATACTCGCTTATTCCCTACTGATCGCAATAAAGCTGATAGGAGTGGCAATGTCTTACCAGGTAGTGACTATCTCATAATTGGGCACTTGTATAATCAAATATCTTCTTACCGGATAACAAGTACATTTTACCATACTCGGTGTCTTGCAGGTACAGTTGTGGATACAAGCATTTGTCATCCCACTGAGTTTGATTTTTATCTTAATAGTCATGCTGGGATTCAGGTAAACCGAGGCTTGACCATCTGCTACAATGATTTTTTTCACCTATGTCGATATCCTTCTATCGTCCGATGCTAAATGTGTAATCATTATTTTTCTTGGGTAGGGAACCAGTAAGCCCACCCATTATCATGTCCTATATGATGAAAACGGGTTCACTGCAGACCATATGCAACAGCTCACCTACAGTTTATGTTATACGTATGTATTTATTACTTTCTCTGCAATTAAGTATTGTGAATAAATATTGCTCAGATAATCCTACATAATTTTTCACTCTTGTTTAGGTATGCGAGGTGTACGAAATCGGTTTCCATAGGTTAGTGTAATATTTGTTGTTCTTAAAATCTGTTTTTAGCTTGCAAGCTAATTTCCAAGTTGAGATTGTTGGTTGATATTTTTATCGCATTTGCAGTGCCTCCGGCTTATTATGCCCATCTGGCTGCTTTTAGGGCACGGTATTATGTGGAGGAAGAGATGTCGGACAGTGGGTCTACTGGTGGAAGCCGAAAACCGAAGGACAAGAGTTTGGATGTTCGTCCCCTGCCCATCATTAAAGACAACGTGAAGGAAGTGATGTTCTACTGCTGAGCAGGCTGTGTTTCGTATTTATTTTGTTTGGGTTTTTTTTTTCTACAGGAAGGATTGTTTGATGGGTTAAAAGCTTGAAACTACACTTCTGGCTTTGTGAATTATGAACAATTTGGTGCATAGTTTGTGGTTGGTTTAGTTATGTATATTAGCACGTGTCATGATGTGCCAGGCCTTTAAAAGATGGGGAATGGTTTTGGGGTCATTTTGCTCTAGAGATTCATCTGTTGTGTACAGAGAACAAATATCTTTTGAATCACACATGTCAAATGATTAGTTATTATCCAAGTCTTTCAAAATCTTCTTTTCTACTGCATCCTTCACAATGTTTTAAAACCAAAATTTATTATAATTCTATTAATATTTATATCTGAAATTTATCAAATAAAATTAAAGAAAAATTGAGTGTAAAAGGCTTAGAATGAAAGACATGAAGCTGTTAATATACACAGCTGAGTTAGTCATAGGTGGGTAATTACATGTATTGCATTGTTTATACTTTATTACTATTATCTACATAATCGAAGATGATAATTTGATACAGGTGTAACACAAGTATGCTTATGATTGAATACAATTTCATTTCCAAGGACAAAGTAAATAGTATTGACCAAATGTATATACAGTAGACGTTTTATTAAAATATACGTATCAATTTATGAATTTAAGATGAGCAATAGTAGTGGGCAATCCATTCTTTGATAATCTCTCTTTGCTTCACTAACCATTCTGGATCCCTCCCCTTTTCTCTAAGTATATCCAAGCAATGAGATCCTGCATTTATATATATATAATTATCGTCATTTTTTCATACAAATTTAATCAGGTAAAATAAATCGGACAGATTTCACTAATCATTTACTGTATGTACTGCAAGAATACTGCCCGAAATGTATTCCAAAACCCTACACAAAAAAATTCACATCAACATTTTACGATGATGTTAGTAGTTTAGTTTAAAGAATGACATTATAAAAATAGACAAACCAAATTATGTCAAATCAATATTATAGGGGCTTAATCCCAAATTTAAACATAATAGGGGGACACAAACCGTATATACCTGCCAACTCCACCCTACATGTGCTTCGGGTTCATCGGTTGGTTGATTAATGACTTAATGTAGCATGAACGATTCCCTCTATAAGCAGCAACACCGGCAAATATTGAAGTAGAGAATCGGAGCTGATGAGGCCAAAGCTCCCAACGCAACATGAGAATACCTTAGCCGAAGCCATGTACCAAGCACTGGTTTCATTTGAATTAATTAATGTTAATCATCATAATGATCATATTATATAATCGAATTAGTCTCACTTACTTCCACCGTATGATCCTGCGATGATGATCACCGGAGAATCAAAAGCACGGAGTTTCTTCTTGATGCGCATGATGATTTCTGCATAGTCTGCAATAGCTTGTGCAGAGTTGAAATACCCCCGAGTGCTTGCAATTTTTAAAGGCTTCTTCACTTGATCCAAATGGTATTGATTTTCCATAGAATCGATGCTGATGAGAAATATTTATTATTTCTGTTAGAATCTTAATTGATATAGTTGGAATAAATTTATGTTATTTACCTGAATGTAAACGAGGAGAGCATTGAAGCGGATTGCATTATCATTGAGGAAACCTATTATGCCGTCGATCAGCGCCTCGGCTCCGACATAGGCTAGAATCGGTGCACTGCCATTTGCTCCGCCCCGATGCTTGAAATGCACCACGTATCTTTGTTGAAAAGTGGTGTAGCTTTGAGACTGGTAGTTGAAGTGATCAAGAGTTCGAGGGTAATAAAAAGTTTGCAGATCATCTGAGACGGCTGCAGATGATAGAAGGTCAGGGTTTTCGATGATCGCTCCTCTCATCGGACTTAGCCCCGGAATGTCGAATCGGTCGAAAATGAGGCTGGTGAACGAAATCGAAAGTACCCTAACCATGAATTAAAGCCATTGGATTGAAACTTCAGGAGAATATTTCATTGCTCTTAACGCATCTATAAAACAATAGTATGATCTGTTAGCCTGTGCCAGGGTCCAAAGACAACTATTCCTCCAATATGTTTATAATCTTTTATAACTATTGACAATCCACACATAGTTCGCAATTGCTCGAATCCAAAACTTAAAGAAAAAATAACATTCACTTTAACTATTGAGATCACTCAATGAGTTTGATTGATTTGAAAATTTTAAATAAAAGAGATTTTCCCCCCACTTTTTAAGTCTAGGGTTAAATTAGAATTTTCTTAAACAAATCGGACTAAATTTTGGAGGATAAATTTACCTACCATTAAACTAGATATTATACTTAAAAGGAAGAAATTACTCTATAAGCAAATCAACTTAGAAAATCAAGCCAAATTACCTCTTCAATTTTAATTTCGCTATAAATCTTGATAAATATATTATTGTTATTTTTCAATAATCAATATTTGATATATTAATAGTTGAATCCGGATCAAATATTATATTGATCCATTATGGGCCATCATCTCAGGCTAATTTACTCAATTAACCGTTAAAATTTAAATATCTAATCTTATTTAAAGAATCTAGTATCTCTTCCTACTATCTTCTCAATTCACAGATCTATCTTCCCAAGTAAGTTGTATTGAGGATATATATCTCAATTCTCAAGTATATCTTCCCAAATTTTTACAAAGAAATTGATTCTTATTGATTAGATTTAAATGTGCAGGATATGTTTTTCCATTAGTGATCTGAATTCGAACATTATTATATATAAAATGTGAATTTTTTTATATATATATAGTTAAAAAGTTGATTGAGACAGGAAGACCAAAGTCTTGTTTGGCTTCATTGATTTTGATATATGTAGACAAACAATTGATAATGTCGTCCTTTTGGCACAAATTTTCAGTTTTGCTTATCCTCAGAACCCAATCTTTTGGCCAGTTTTGCATTATGTTCTTCAATCCAGCCTCCGATGATGTTCATCTCCCTGTCTCGTTGCTCGACCAGCCAGTTGGGATCATTAGTGCTAGGAGTGTTTATATCCATACAATGGGAGCCTTCGTTTGTATATACTGCAACAATGGTATCTGATATGCTGTACAAAACTCTGCAAAAAAAATGGTTTGGCAAAATGTAAAATAAAGCATGATAAAGAAGGGTTCATTTAAAGAGTGTTAGTTCTTCACCCTCCAGCACCCCACGGGTCACGTAGACCATTGGAGAAGATGATGTTGCTTGCAAAATTTCCAAGTACAGATTTTATGTCCTGCAATGTTTTTTCATTCCGAATTCAGTGGTGATCCAATGGTGCCTCGTCGACACGGCGAAGATGTCGAGGCAGGTTCTGGTATACTTTTCCATATCAAAAGGATATGCTTGGAACATTGTATCGTTTTCACCATGGCCAATTGGCATTACCATTTCAGTACAAGTCTGAGATGATCATTTGCAGAGATATGTTTCAGTGGAATCAATCAAGGCCTGATAATAATAATGGGTGATATGAAATGGTTGAATTACCTGCCAAAACCATGCACTGCCATTGTTTGGGTTGATTTCAAATATATCATTGCATGAGTGTGCCCCAAAGAAACTGGCATTAAGCCCTCTAGCAACTTTTCCCAGAATATCACTTCCTTGTGCTCCTCCATCAATGGCGCCGCATATATGTCGGACCGATGAACCATTGTCATTCTGAGCTGAATATACATAGATAAATCCTAGAAACCCCTTCAGCTGTTCAGAGGAGTACAAAGGCCTTCAAATTTGAGCAGATAAAAAGGGATTAATTACCTTAGACTAACAAGAGAATTTCATTTGAACCAAGATTCAAAAAACTCCCATCAAACTTACATGCAAGAATTGAATATGCTGCTGAGATTCATTAGGCCATTCGGATGCTCTGCAACACTGTCGATTTCGAACCAAGATTGTCTTATAGTGTTATAACAATTCTCGCTTGTTTCCTGCACAAGTAACAATACAAGAATCAAGAGCACATAGATAATGCAAGTAACAAAGCACGTAAAAAGATTCATATGAAAACGTCTTTTAACTCTGAAATCCTTGGTAACGATCACATGATAGGCATTTTGAGGAGTGAGATCATCAAAGTAGAGAATTGGAGCAGATGAGGCTAATGCACCAATAGTGATATGGGGATATTTGAGGCGAAACCAAGATGCCAGCACTGAGTTATTATGAAGAATCAGTTTCAGAATATATATAGATATAATTGAGAGAGGACAAGTAAATTATGAATGTACTTCCACAGTAAGATCCTCCAATGGCAATAACTGGGCAGTTTTCAGCTGATAGATTTCTCTTGAGGTCGATTATCAACTTTGCGTAATCTGCTAAAGCTTGTGTTGAGCTTAAGAATCCAAGTGTTGAGGCATTTTGGCAGGCTATGTATTTATATCCGAATGGCATTGAATCTCCATAATAACGATGCTATAATCAATGAGTCCATTAATGTATTAGCAGCGGCCGTTTTACTCTAAGCCGGTGAATATTATGCTCAAATCTTCTTTTACACATGAAGATCATGTCATCGAACTTATTTCCAAATACGTACCAAGCAAATAGTGGCATACCTCTATGAATAGAAGAAGACCTTTAAAGCGAGAAGCAAGATGAATCATGAATCCAGCATTGATAGCAATCCCATCGATACTGCTGGCCTCGTCACCCGGGTAAACGAAGATGGGAGAACTCGCATTAGCCCCACCCCAATACTTGTAATTCGCAATGTATTTCTGTGGGAACGTAAGGTAGCTCTCGTATTTGTAATTGAAATGATCTAACGTTTGTTCATATTAGTATGTCGAAAATTCTGTCGGGAGGCTCCCATCTTCCTTTGTCATCACGGTTTTTTTTATCGCACCGTAGCTCGTTGTCGTCCAAGGATATGCCGCTGATAAGCATAGTGTTGGGAGCAGAAGAAGCACTTTTGGAAACCGGAAGAACATTCTTTGTGACTCCATTAGCTATGGAACTTCAGCTCAGAAATGAAAGGCCTTTGAGGCATTTTTTTATGACTATTGCTTTGATTAATTACCCTTTTTTATTATGCAACAAGAGATTCACCAGCCGGCATCAACAGACAACAGTAAACAGTTCCAGACAAATTGCACATTGGGATTTTTTTTCCAAGTAAATATTCTTTTGTCGGCTTTTGCATATCAATTGTCAATCAACTACAAATTTTAGACTTTCACCTTGCTTGAAAATAGGTGTTATTTTCTCATTTCAATGTCCATATTTCATATTTATTTTTTATTTATATAAATTAATATATTTATGTTATTTTACGCATAGTATATATATTATTTATTTCTACACCCAACAAATGTCAACCAAAATAATAAAAAAATCTTGTACTAAGCTTTGATCTAACTTGTACCAAAAATATAATATTGTCATTTACGACTTTCGCAATACAGTTAAAAATAGATTGTGGTTCTGGTCCAGCTCTCGCTGCAAATCATAGCATATTATTTCATTGAAAAACTCTGTCTGGACTGCGAGATACACTACATAAATCAACCGCCAAAAAGGATTAATTACACTTTCCAATAATTACATGGGGATGTATAATACATAAGTTGCCATTAATTGAGGCACAACAACATTCAAACGAATAATGAGACGAGAAAGAAAGAAACGTGACTGTCAACAGGAACGAGCACAAGATGCGGAAAACTTAAACGACCACCTGAAATTTTTTTAACACCACACATGCACATAAAGGCATGCAAAGCAAACTTAATTCGCAGCTGTAGTACATAGAATACATCGCATCTGAGGATCAGCAGTATGACTGCTGTTGTCATCAGCATCATCTTCCTCGTACTCGTATAGCCCTTCAGAGGCGGCTCCAGTCTCCTTTTTGCTGCTGGTATTTGTTTCGGTGGAGTCCATCAAGCAAGTTGTGTGATAAGCATGACAGCAAAAGAACACGACCACTGATACATTTTGTATAGAGAAAGGATCAAAACACATGCAACATCTTCCACCTCCCCTAGTTTTAGACTTGACATCCATGTATCGCACGCTAGGTGTTATAGTTTGAGAAGCTCCACTTGCATCCATCTTGAGTCGAGCATCATCTTCGTTACTCAAGCAAACTGCTCGTTTCGCTTCATTGTAGTATTTAACCAACAGATTAACACAATCAGCCTGTATATTTCACATGTACCCAAATGTCAGGTCCTTCAGATCGGAATTTCAAGTATTATAATAAACGCAAAGAGGATGAGTAGTAGTACCTTGAGTATATCATTGCACCCATGTCTAAGGGAAGTTTCAGTTCTGTAATCAGTAATAATTTTGACTAGACGATCCCTGAGCCTGAAAATAACATAGAAGATTATGTTGAATTTCTGTAAGTAGATAAAGTGATTCAGCTTAGATCCCTGCAATTTGAAGCTCTATGGGTTGGTTGGATGCTCCATATGGAAGTCTTGGGGGCATAATTAAAGATCGAAGCGATGAAAGATAAGGGTAGGATGTACATAAGTAATTTGGTGACTTTTTCTGATTCATTATCTCTGTTTGCATAAAGAAATAGTTTAGCATCATAAAATTTGACGACAATGCAGGTTATATAACAGTTCGTTATAGACAGTTGCCATTGCATGCAAAAATATGGACAGATCAGTTTGGTAGTACGATTTATATATGGAAAAGCTCACTTAAAGATGGGGCAAAGATTACAATTGTTGTGTTCCAGCACAAACCTCAGGCTTTTCTTCCTAGAGTCTGCACCAAATGCTTAACCACTTTAAAGACAATTAAATCAACAGCTCCAACTAAATTTGAGCTTGATACAAGTACGAATCATGGCTTTGTTAATTAATTATCAGATAAAAGATGGATAATGATAGTGTGACTTCCATCGACAGTGAATCCTCTAAGGTTTTCCTTTCACCCTTTTCCCCTTTTCCCCTTTTTTAATATTTTTAAACTAAGAAACGTCTATGATACTATACATGCAAATTACTTGGAAATAGAAAATTCAGCTCAACTGCAATTCACAAATTTCCCTTGACAAAAAGAGAATACTAACCGAGGTATCTCTAGGCCATTGGGCACCATATTTACAATATAGAGAGGATCCAGATTGCCAACAGTGTGTTCCAATAAGATGCCCACCTGCCAATCAGTGAGAGATTAGGAAGAAAAAGTTCGAGACAAGAGGAATATAGCTAATCATCATATGACATGCATATTTCCAGACTGCATTTTATGTCATTACCATTTCAGGTTTGTTGAGGCATTGGTGAATTAGTTCTTCCCAAAGATCATCATCATGCTGCATGGTCACAAATTCTACAGCCTGTGGAGGATAAATAAACTTTTATCTTAAGTACCAATCCTTAAAATTGCCAGAAACACAAATATAAAGCAACAGCTGAAGACATACCTCTTTGATATCTCCTAATTCATTTATGATGACTGCCAGAGCCTGTTTTGAGTTTCCCATTCTTCCAAGAATGAATACTTGCTCCCTTAAAAGGTCTTTTGTGGCACAGACTTCGTACGCCTGATGTTGAATTTCGGCCCGCATTAGTTTGGAAAATTAAGACGCCATCATAATATAACTAATATTGGAAATTATGATTCCATCATTATATAGCAATATTTAGACTATCCAAACCTTTTCCAACGTGTAATGTTGACTACTGCGAAGAAAAGGAAGTAGCATCTTTGGATCATACTCAACATAAAGTTCTACCTATCACAGAAAGAAAATAGACAATACATAATCAGAAATGCAATTAACATAACATGCACCTTTCCCAATAGCAAGACTCAATGCACAGCCATAAGCATTGAGGGCTAGACAAGAGCATGTTCACAGGCAATAATAATTAACATGTTAAGATGGCATCAAAAGCAGACAAAAATAACAAGAAACATGAACCAAAGGGAAATTTTCCAAGGTTGTTAATACCATATTGGACAGGTGATTTGTTTTCCTAAAAAGAATGGTACAAGTCGGTAACAGTTGTTTAAGTAAATTGCTTTTGGGGTTCCCAGTGTAGTATATAACTACCCACAAATATACCTAGATGACTAGATCTATATAGAATATTACTAATAGTAAGTAAAATTTAAGATTTACATCACTTACAAATCCAAATTCCTTCAAACACCAATTAAATAAAATCACTATATACCATATAAACGGATGTCACTCATGCCCATCATTTGTAAAATCCAAATCCTTCTAACAAACACGTCGCACCCAAACTAACAAAACTAAGTAAAGAAAAAAAAGATAATTTTGGAACCCATATAAACTGTTTAAAGTGATATGGCTGGTCTTATGTAGTCAAACTCTGTAGGACTAATTTTGGAACCTACTGCCATTTTGTTTCTTCAACCATTAACCACACACAGAACAGGGAAAAGAATTTGGCCTCTGCAATGTATGAAATTTAGATACGTAACAAATGTCAAAAAAAAAAAAGACAATTTCAAAGCATATGATGCCACCAATATTTACATAAAAGATATTAAAACACCAATGTAGTTGCCTATTTCATACCTGCATATCATGAAAATCCCTGCCAGCATGTGGGTTTACTTCAAACAAAGAATGCAGATATAAATGCAAGGAATATCTTGAATCACACTTATTTCCAGTATTCAGAAGCTGTGAAACAACTTCGGATGGTGTAATTAAGTTCCTATTTTGGATCAACAAATTGACAGATTGCCTAAAATCTACAGTCATCAACTGGACAACCTGCACCACGCACATAGTATTTTAGGCATTAAAATTGCTTATTAATAAAGGAAATAAACAAAATTTTCTTTTTCAGTTACTTTTTGCTCTTCTTTACCCAATAGTTTTATTGAATAGAAAGAGCTAATCTTTTGCCACTATTTTTGGTTGAAATTCCAAATGAATCTAACATAAACAAGTGTAAACCTAAGTAGTGAGATTTTGTAAAGAATCAGTTTCATAATTTACAAGACTGACCTCATATGTAGAGGTATTGACATTCTCTACAAAAACAATCATTTTTTGAGAAAGCAAACTAGCCCAAATATTTCATATGCACTTCCATAACCATACCTTTTCCCGAATAGAATCTTGTAAGTTGTGCCTTTCAATGAAGTCAAATATATCTGGCTTCATGAGCTGAAATCACAGATAAGTATGTACATTAAGAAAGAAACAATGAAATATCCAACTAGAGAATGGATAAAAGCCTAGTTTCCATGAGCAATTTGCATCAGACATAATTTTAAGGTTGACAAATATATTTATCTATGCACAAATTTACATGGAAATACTTACATCAGCATACAGTGAAAAAGCTTTCTCGTACTGCCCATTGGTAACATACAACTCTGCAAGTGCCTATCAAGAAAAAAGGATAGGGTCATTCAACATATGTAGCATCAACAGATTCAATTCACATCAGACAATTAGAAACAGACTCATAAACCTCTTTAAGGGCATCAGTCATTGATGAAGTGTTTAACTGGGGCTCAATTGCAGAAATAACAGGCAACACAGAATAAATGGCACGTGGCCAAGATTTAACAGTTGACACAAGATCCTTATGAAATGATGCATTTGTTGCCAGAGCCACAAGAGCAACCTGCAGCATAACAAACAAGTGGTTTTCATTCCAAGATTGACACATGAAAACTATAAAAGAAGACTACATGAACATTTTCACAAGTTGCAGTCTCGACCAACCTCATAAGCAGTATCACGCAGCCTTGGGTGTTCTGTTGGCATATACGGAACCAATACAGGAAGTTGACGGAGATGAGCAAAATGGAATACCCATCTGTCAAAGCAATTGCAAGTGATTAACAAGAAACATATGGAAAGAGTTGCATAAAATGATTTTCACTACCTCTCCCAAATTGTAGCAGATCCCCGCAACAATTTGGGACACAAGGATGCAGCCTCAGCATATTTCCTTTCGACTATCAAATGATCAAGGTATCTAGATCCCACCTACACATAAGGTGAAGAAAACAACAACTAACTTTAGTAATTACATGCACAAAGGAATTAGAATTATTTAGGGCAACAAATGAAATCGGAAATAAGAGATCAGTTCACCATACATCAAAACTAAAATACATTAGCTTGTAGCCAGAATCTTTCATAATAATGCAAAGATTAGATATTAAGCCAGAAGATTTACATGGTAAGTGATATCAAGTCATTAAAAAGAAGAAAGTTACTTCATCAAGGAGTTCAGTCCGTCCCTGCCCAGCCTCAACTGCTGCTAAAGCTTTTTCATGATATCCGTGTTGAAGAAGCCATGCAATGTGATCCTCAGCATCCCTAAAGTGTCAAAATTGTGAAGGTACTGACCAGTATTATAAAACGTGCCACATAAAATATTGGCCATCATTTTAATACACTATGCACAAATCCAGAGATTATTATAAATATCAAAGTCCATATTAGGAGAATCTTGACATCAAAATTCAAACAAAACTCACCATTTCCAGAAAAACACACCACATAATATCCCAGTTTGCTTTTGTACCGGGGAGACAGCTGTTGGATTGTTCTTTTATTGCGAATAAAGGAATCGACTATAGGAGAAAACAAGGGTTGCAAGGGGTTGTTCTAAAGGTTGATTTTCGTAGAGCTTACGATTATGTGGAATGGCCAATTTTATTTAGAGCTGTAGATGCTTAATTTGTCTGGGAAGTTAGAAACCAGAAAAAAAGAGATAGTGGGGAAATAACTACCAGAAACGTGGGACACGCAAAGAAAGAACAGGGGAGGTCAGTTTTGTTTAACTACTGGAAACCATCAGAAATGAGGGACTTCACGTAGACACAACGAAAAAAAAATACTTCAAGGGGGGAAGAGAAAAAAAGGGGACAACAACAAAGAAAAAAAATCAGAGGGAAATTTCTCGTATAGGGATTAGAGAGAAAACTGAAAGCAACAAGTGTAAGAGAATCTTTTAAGATCAATACAAAGAAATTTTCCAGATTTCTTTTTTCCTGTGGTTCGAAAGAAAATCATAGCATTCATTAAGGTATTTATTTTTTTTTCTTCTGTTTCATTTTTCAGTGCTTTATATGTGTATGGTATGAACACGAGTAAGTAAATCACTAGAGAAAGAAGGACCAACCACAACAAACAAGAGATTCACGAAACAAAGAAAAATATTCAGAACCAGAGAGCGAAACAGCTGAAAAATAGAAAACGAACCCCGTACCTTTATTCGTTTGAAGAAACTCACTCACATCGCTTAGGGCCAAAACCACCACCAGTCGTTCAAGGTAACCTCTTTTGACCTTAGATCTATGTCGATTTTAGGAATTTAGGAGGGGGTTTAGGTTTGGCTTGCGAGTCTAGGTCCTGAGCGAGGGGGGAGATGATCGGGTTTTGGGTTTTCTCAGCGAAGCCTTGAGGGAGAAAGGATGAGAGAACGGCGAGGGTCGGTTTAAGGATGAAGAGAATAATGAACCAAGTAAAAAATTTTGCCCTAAGTATCATATACATTCAGTAATCAAAACAGCGTCGTTTAGAACTGAGTCAAAACGGCAGCGTTTTGAGTCCAGGAGTGATACGACGTCGTTTGGAATGGGTCGAGACGGTGACGTTTTGAGAGTTATATTATCATCCGTGTTATAGGTCGTTAGGGAGTAATTAGGTGCGAAGTCCAGTATCTTTTAATTAATTATATTTTAGTCCTTGAGTCAGTCTTTTCCGTTTTCGTAATTCGGTTCTACTAGTTCACGCGCATTCTGTTTTGGTCACCAGCTTATGTTATTTTTCATTTTTCGTTTATTTTTGCATTTAGCTTGTGAGTTTTGATGTTTGACAATTTAGTCCTATGGCAGACTTGAGTGATGTACTAATCAATTTATATTTTGGTTAATAATTTGATGTTTAGCTATTTTTCATCCTTTATGGTATTAAATTCAAGATTGGGTTATTCACAGTATGTTTTTATTTTATTTTAATGAATGTGCGTGTTAATGTATGTATACATATATCGTATAATTTATTTAGCATGAAAGCCCTTGTAACATATTAATAGGAGTATGATAGGTTTAATAATCTTAGAATATTAAGAATTTAAGATTTTCTTTGTAAGATAGATAACCATAAATGCATGTGAATATTTTTATAGACTTAGAAATTTGTTTGAATGCATGACATATTTTAGTTAGTCTTCGTATGATATCCTCACATGCATCACTCGACCGTATTCATAATTGGACTAAGGGTAATATCCTCTCAGTTTAAAATTATTGAAGTGGGCAGTCATAACTGATTTGAGGTCCGCTTTTGATAATTTTAAAATGAAAGTATATCCCGAAAGTGAAACAAAAAATTGACTCGTCACCTAAAATTTGAGAATGAGAGAAAAAGAAATGTTCGTTTATTTAAATATATCGAGAAAAGGTTGTTATAACTTTTAAGATCTGGTCTCGATATTTGTAAATAATCGAACATTCTTTTTCTTTCTAAAATGACTCGGTAATTTTAATTTAATTTATTGGAGTGCTTTTGAATGTTTTTTTAATTTTACATCATTGTTTTATTGGATCAAAAATTAAATTAAATTTGAATTTGTAAAGTTCATTGCAAAGACGTTAATTAATCGACTAGGTACCGATTTAGGGCGTTGTGGGGGTGCTAATCCTTCCCCACACGTAACCGACTCCCGAACTCGGATTTTGGTAACGCAGACCTCAATTTATTGTTTTAATAAAAATTAATTTTTATTTAAAATAACAAACATTTTTGGGTGCCCAATCACACCCTAATCAAAGATTGGTGGCGACTCTTTGAACTATATTTTTTCGATCATAAAGGAAATCTGAATTTTTTTCGAAACGAGAGGTTTTCAAATCACATTTGTTTTTAAATTAAAACTCAATAAAAAGAGATAATTACGAAAAAATGTGGTTTTTTTTAAAAATCTCACCTTTTCACCTTTAAGAAAAAAATCGTTTCGACAAGAGCAATGGCAGAGATGGGTTTTGGGAATAGATGGTCCTCGTGGATTTCTCAGTGCCTTTCAACAGCCTCCATCTCGATACTCGTTAATGGGTCTCCTTCGGAAGAGTTTCCTATGGCCAAAGGTTTTAGACAAGGTTGTCGTCTCTCTCCTCTCCTATTTAACATCGTAGGTGAGATGCTCCACTTGATGATTTCTAAAGCAGTCGACAGGGGTTTGTTCCAAGGCTTTGTTATTGGGAAATCGGAAAATTCTGCTAGGTTGTCTCATTTGCAGTTCGCCGATGACTTAATCATTTTTTGTCAAGCCTCTCTAACTCAGATCAAGAATGTTAAAAGGGTGTTGAGGATTTTTAGTATTATGGCAGGTTTGCATCTAAATTTGGAGAAGAGCAAGCTGTTTGGAATTAATATGGAGCATGATGTATTAACAGATTGGGCAGTCCAAGTGGGCTGTTCAGTTGGTTCTTTTCCAACAGAATATTTGGGTCTTCCACTGGGTGCTAAGAAAAATTCAGAGGCTTTATGGGATCCTGTATTTAAGAACTTCAGTTCCAAACTTGCTGGGTGGAAAGCGTCCTGTTTGTCTTTGGCTAGAAGGACAGTATTATTGAAGTCGGTATTAACTTCCTTACCAATTTTTTTCTTATCGCTGTTTAAAATGCCTTGCAAAAACTTGAATGTTCGGTATCGAGGATGATTTATGCCCTCTTTTTAAATTGGTTGAGGAAACTTCCACGCACTTATTCTTTACATGTTCGGTTGCATGGGCTTTGTGGTACAAGTTTTATAATTTTTGGAGATTTAGTTCTGTGTTTCCTGCTGATGCAAAAACCTTTCTTACTGCTTGGGATGAGTTGAAATCAAATTCTTCTATTTGGACTTTCATTCCTGGGGCTATCATTTGGACCATTTGGAAGGCCATAAATTTTATTGTCTTTGAAGGGGGAAAGCTTGATCAGTTAGAGTTATTTTTCTTATCACGAGTTAGGCTGGCTTCTTGGTTTCTAGCTAAGCACAAGGACATTTCTATTCATAAGGATTCCTTGATTATGGATCCTTCATTAGCAGATTCCTACTCGCCCTACAGCTCTATGAAGTCTTCCTCATTCCCTTGGGGACCTCCCCCTTCTGGTTTTTTTAAATTGAATGTGGACGCAGCCGTTAGTAGTGACTGGAAGAAATCGGGTATAGGAGGTATTTGGAGGGATCATTCAGGTTCAGTCCTAGGTTCTTTTCAAGAGTCAGCTGGTCCGGGACCTCCGACTATGATCGAACTTAAAGCTATTCAGAGGGGTATTTCATTATATGCTTCTGCTCAAGGGAGGGTCAAAGATAGGTTGATTGTTGAGAGTGATAGCAGGGTAGCAGTAGACTGGATCAACAATGTCAATTCATGCCCAGTTGTTTATGCTTTCGTTGTTAGTGATATAGTTGACAATCTTAGATCTTTGGGGGGGGGGGTTATAAATTGGGTTGCTAGGTCAGCTAGATCTTTGGGGGGGGGGTTATAAATTGGGTTGCTAGGTCAGCTAATATGGACGCCGATGCTTTAGCAAAGGCTGGAATAGGCTAATTTTTTCGTTGTTTGTTGTTTCAGTTTAGCATTTGATTCCTGTTCGGGTGGGATTTATAGATTGTTGTAAGGGTTATTTCGAAGATATTTATCGAGGTTGTAATCTTATTTTCTTTTATGAAAATCTAAGGCGCTCTTTTCCTCCTTCCAATGATTAAGGAGCTTCTTTTCAAGATCCATTAATCAAGAATGAGGTTTTTAATGAGGCCTTCTAATCTTATCAAAAAAAAAATGCCTTGCAAAATTGGTAAGAAGTTAAATTCCTTATTAGCTAATTTTCTATGGGGCGATAAGGAGGAAAAGAGGAAGATTCATTGGGTGAAATGGAGCACGGTTTGTAGGCCATTGAACTGTGGTGGTCTGGGTGTACTAGATTTGAACCTCACTAATCGGGCTCTACTAGGTAAGTGGGTGTGGAAATTTGCCAATGATAGAAATTCCCTATGGAAAGGTGTGTTGTGTAGCAAACACAAGGTAAGTTGCAATACAATGTCCATTAGGGAGGTTACTTCTCCTCAATCTTCTTGGATTTGGAGAGGTATAGCCAATAATATTTTGAAGAATGATTCGGAAGGTGACTGTCTTAGATCAAATGCGAAGTTGCAAGTGGGAAATAGAACATCTATTTCTTTTTGGAATGATGTATGGGCAGATTATGTTCCACTAAAGATTATGTTTCCTAGAATTTACGTGCTTTCCCCTATTAAATGGGGGAAGGTTGTAGATTTTGGTAGCGTGGAACCGAGTGGTTGGGTGTGGAATGTTGAAACAAGAAGGAATTTGTGCGATTGGGAGTTGAATCAGTGGATGGATTTGATGTCTAAGCTGAAGGATATTCAACTGTCAGAGTTGGTGGAAGATTTCCTATCTTGGTCTGCAAGTGGGGATGGACTGTTTTCGGTTAAATCTTGCAGAAATACTTTTGGTAATGTGTTTGGGGGCAGTGTGCCGTGGTGTAAAGGGGTATGGCTGGGATTTGCTCCACCTAGAGTGGAAGCTTTCCTGTGGCAGCTTGCTCATCAGAAAGTGGCAGTGAAAACTGAGTTGGTTAAGAGAGGATTATCTCTAGGGGATGATATCCTGTGTCCTTTTTGTAAGAAACATGAGGAATCAGTGCAGCATTTATTCATTTCTTGTCAAGTTGTTTGGGAATTATGGAACAAAATAGTTAATTTTTGGGACTTATCATTCGTTATACCCAAAGACTCTCTCTCCTTCTCTTCTTTGTTCCTGGGGTGAGTTGAGGGAGAACTCGATGATTTGGAAGTTCATTCTGGGTGTCATTTTTTGGTCGATTTGGAAAGTTAGGAATGCAATGGTTTTTAATGGATCTTCTCTTGACAGGCTGTCTTTGTTCTTCATTATCAGATTCAGGCTGTCTAAATGGTTCCTAGCCAAGTTCCCTAAGATATCGATACAGGAGGATGTGTTGATTGGTAATCCATGTCTAGCAGATGGGTTTTCTCTATCAAAACACAAAGAGTGTCATGTCATACGATGGATTCCCCCCCAGTAGATTTTCTTAAGATGAATGTTGACGGATCTGTTAGGAGAGATGGCTTGGGTGGTGGGATTGGAGGTATTTTAAGAGATTGGAATTGCTGCACCCTTTTGACTTTTTCAGAGAATGTTTCTCAAGGAACTCCTCCACTTGTGGAGTTAAAGGCTATTAAAAGAGGCATTGAAATATTTTTATCATCACATTGGGAATCTGTTGGTAGGTTGATTGTCGAGACTGATTGTAAATCTGCAATAGAATGGATTCAGACCCCGGGTTTAGCTCATGTTTTCTTAACGTCTATAGTCTATCAGATTTCGACTCTCATCACTGGTAAGGTACATTCAGTGAGGTGGATTCCAAGAGCGTGCAATGGGGAGGCAGACAATCTAGCTAAGAGTGGGATAGGTTGATTGCAAGGAGTCAACTATGGTTTTTTAATCTACTGTGAAGGTTTTTATGGCAGGGGGTGTTTTTAAGTTTTATGTACTGTAAAGGCTTTTATGCCAGGGGATGTTTTTAAGTTTTATGTACTGTTATTGGTGTAATGGTTGTATCTTATGTAATTTTTCCATTATTAATAAAATTCAAGGCACTCTTTTCCTCCTTCCGCTGATTAAGGAGCTTATTATCAAGCTCCTTAATCAAGAAGGGGGTTTTTAACGAGGCCTTCCATTCCTATAAAAAAAGTATTCTTTTTTATCATTATAACTGTTTTCCCAGTTGCAAATCTATAAGAGTATTACAGATACCTCAGATCATGCCCAATGGAAGCTTATACAGATTTCTATCAACTTAAAGGGTAATGATAGATAAACAGATATACTCCCAAGACAAAATATTAATTGGGGGGGGGGGGTTAAATCAGGAAGGAGAGTTATTCAGAAAATCCAACTTCCTTTTGGGAAAATAAGAAAACCGGCACCAAATTAATACTGCTACATTTCACAAAAATTAAGTATATCTTACTGCATAGTACTACAGAAACCACAATGTTTTTCCTATTTTACCTTATTTAATGAAAAACAAGCTTAATCTTCGAGAAACAAGAAAAATAGAAAGAATCAGAAGTAACCTAGGTTTTGCTATGACGACATCCTTTGGCGATACAATATAGTATACTGGTTCATCACCAGCAGCCCACTGTCCACCGGCATAACTGCTGCCTACATTCATATGAGAAAAGCACTATAACTATTGATTGAAATTCTGTCTAATAACCCATAGCTTCAAAAACAGAGATATCAACCTGAGAAGGGAGCATGAGCCAACGAATAGTCCTTTGCTTTGTAGTGCTCAAAGCCATGAACAGGTAGGGCATCAGTTGCCAATTCATCATTGTTCCAAGACACTATGCGAACCTCTGGTCTCTGTGCATTTCCCTGCTACAGTAGATTATGCATAGGCAACGAGAATTATAACAACAGCCATCGTCTGAAACTCTTGAGAAAGCAATACTAACTAATTCATTCGATACTATAATCCACCGCACCAACTATAAAAACTAAGGATCAGTAGAATGTATAGAGAAGCAAGACCAACATATCGGACAAGAATTCTTCATACAAGCACAGCCTAAAAGTTCAAGCAGACCAACAATGTAGAGGAGTTACGGCTAGTGCAACCTCTGCCGTGGCTTCTGTCAAGCATTGCATCACACCATCCAGATAAATTGGCAAATTTGTAGGAATGGGAACAGATAATGCACTAAAGATAGCACAAAAAGCCTCAAAATCAGGGGTGTACACCATGTTGACAAACTTAGCTTTTTTCAGAACTGTAAAGGACAAATACCTGTCTTGATGGTAGCGTGCTCCTAAATTCCTTCTCTCCAACTTCTTCACCAGAAATATAGGCGAGAACAACCAAAACATCACCAAAAGGAGCAATTCCTGATATGTAATAGCTAGTCTGAAATGATGCCACAATATCTACTTGGTTCATGTTAGAACTTAAAACACGCTCATAAGTTCCATTGGCTCCCTTGTTCATATTTCTTCTTATTACTGCAATCTTCACGAAAGTTCCCCATCCAATCACTAATAAGGTATCATCCTGAATAGGTTCAGACAATGAGAAATGGTATAAATGATTGAATAACCTATGCTTCATAAAGAATAGGGCCTGCGATAAGTGTAAACTTCAGAAAAATGAATGATAGCATATAACATTGTAGCAGTTTAGAGTTTAGACAACATAAGAAAGTTTGAAACAACTTAGACGTTTTCCATTTTAATCTTTTCACTAACCTGCCAAACTAAATGTGGAAGCAGGATTTCAGGATGAGGACTCCCTCTTGGTCTTTCTATAAATGTAATTTGCTGATCATTTGCAGAATCATAAATTTTTACTCCCATGTCATTAGCCCAAGCAATGAGACTCGTTTTCCATTTTACTGCATGGATTGGACCTTCACCTGAGTGCAAAACCTAAAGCCACATTAAAATACACAACATTCAGAATCCATAAAATTCAAGATTTTCAAATAAATCAAAGTTGATCGAGCATCACGATTCACGAACCTGATCCTTATAGCCAAGCCACTTTTTGGTATTAAAATATAAGTGACCAGCTAAGCCACCAGTTACAAATCTCCTAGATGATTTCCTTGCATAATCAGGATCAAGTGCAATGGCCTTCATAGGACGATGATACTCAAATTTCAATTTCTGGTCAGTGAAAAGGCTATTTAGTACAACAGAGCCATCATCAGAACAGCTTCCAATATATTCACCTTCTATATCAAAACTAAGGTCATTCACTGCAGCTGAATGAGCAGCAAATTCCTTAACCTAAAAACAACCAAATAAAAATCTTAAGCATAGCAAAATATAATCAATAACAAAACGCAGCTAAAAGATTAACTTAACTAACTTAATAAAATTTATTTACTTATTGAAAATTTTGAATTACAAGGAAATGTACTGAAATTTGAAATATCAAAATAAAATGAGAAATTAAGACTCCAAATGAAATACAAGATCAAAAGAGCTGAAATGAAAGAAGATTCACCTGATTTCCCAAAAAGTCGAGGATATGAACCGTTCCCCCGTGCGTTCCAAGCGCGATCATGCGTTCGGCGACGGCGATACACGAAGCGGAATCGCCGGAAAGCAAGGAAGGGATACTACCTCCCATTCTTTGGTACTTAAGCCTCGGCTCTTCTTCATCGTCCTCTTCTTCTTCATCGTCGTCTACGTCTACGTCTCTGTCTTCTTCATCTTCTTCTTCTTCTCTCTCGTCGTCTCCTTCGACTCCGCTTTCTGATGGGAACGGAGACATTTGCATTTTCCTTGGAATTGGGAAAGGAAAAAAAAAGTGGAAGATCTGAGTCGAGTTCTGATATGGTTCAATTTAGTTAATAAACGGTTAATCTGAATTATTTATTTGCTAGCGACGAACGATGAGTACGAGTAGGTGTCACATCCCTCTTTTTCTTTTCTTTTCTTTTCTTTTCCCCCTTTCTGTTTGGGTTTTTCCATATACAAAGGACCTTTGCTTAATTTAAAGAAATATTTGTACCTCAAATAAAATTAAGGGCATATTTAAGTACATCTTTGAATGGTTAATTTTAGGTTGAAAATTTCAAATTTATTGTATGAACATAATACTGATATTGTCTATTAAATTCGTAGTGTATTGATAAAAGATGTAATTTAGTTCTAATTAATATAAATACACTATTTAATAAATTTTATGTGAACTTACTTAAATATCTAATTGCTTCTTATTTCACTCACTTTTACAGCTGTAGCATAGAGACATGGAGGTTTTCATTGGACAAAAACATACAGACATGATCCATAAACTCCATTGCATGGAAAGTTCAAAGAAAATGCGCCCACTTACTCTATTCATTAGCTCCTTACCTTTACCAAAACCTTTTACCACTGCCCTGTAGTATCATACCACTTTATTTGTTGCCATATCTTCTCCCTGTCATATATTTTATGACTTTGTAACACTTTGTTTTTACCTTTTGATATCAATGACACCTATTATAATTACCGTCATTGAAATTGAAGCCTTTTGTTCCTTTATGGATTTTATATTAAGGTTTTTTTTAAAGGTATAATTATCTGAAATAGTCATTTTATCTTTTTTTTTTTTTGAGTATTTTATCTATCAACGTTTTATTTTTTTGTCTAAACAATTTATATTAATAGTTGATTAACAGTCAGTACATGTTGTTAATGTGATATTTTCATATGTGTTCAATTGTTGATGCATCTTATGTTGTATCATCATTTTATTGATATAACATATATCAAACAATCACTTTAGATGACTGGTATATGTCACACTATCATCTTAAGTGATTTGGCATTTAAAATAATGAGTAAATTACGTGTTTGATATTTAAACTATCAATTTTAATATATTTTAATACCCAAACTTTTAATTTTAAAAAAAATAATATCTAAAGTTTGTTTTAGTACTTCGTCGTTAAAAATTTAAAGGGTGATTTGCACGTGACACCTTTTTTGTGGGTAAATTACATCATTCATCACTCAACTAACTTCTCACTCCTATTTTGGTCATTAAAGTTTTATTTTTTAATTTAATTACTTAACTTTCAAATTACTCCTGATTTAATCACTCTAACTTTCAATTTTATTTTTTATTTTTAATTATATATTAATAAAATAATAAAAAATGTCATGTCACAAAAATTATTAATAAAATAAATTAGAGTGATTAAAATAGGAATAATTTGAAAGTTGAGTAGTTAAATTGAAAATTTTTAAACCTTAGTACCAAAATATGAATGAGAAGATAGTTAAGTGATGAATGATGTAATTTACCCATAAAAACACAATGATGTACAAAATGAAACCAAAATTAAACGTTAGATATAATTTTAAAAAAATAAAAATTTAGGTATTAAAACGGATCAAAACTAATAATTTAAATATTAAATGTGTAATTTTCCCTAAAATAATTCATGAAAGGAAAAAAAATCTTACTGTATCAAATGGTAGACTTTATTCCTTCAGCTCACATCAATATTTTACATGCATTCAATATAATAACTTAAAAAGAAATAAAAAAGAAGAAAATATATGAAATAATTGATAATTATAACTTGGAGCAGAGCAACATAATCAATGCAATAATTGCTTCACCTGTGGTCTGAGCTTCTGAAACTAGTACTATTCCTGAACGTAACCAATCCCTCTTGTTTTTTTACCTTGTCCCTTTTTATTGAAATGTTGACCAAATCCTATCAAATCTTTCCTTTTGTTTGGGGTTAAGAAGATTCAGCAGCAGCTGGTGATTGTGTGATTGCACCAGCCATGTCTAAACCCACACAGGGCTGCTCAACTGGTACCTGCACATCCAGTACATGATTCATAATCAATACTAATAATACCAACCTTGACTAACATCATTGCATGTATTAATTAAAACCAATAGATATTTTGAAAGACTTACAAAGTGTCCAGCACCAAGAATCCAGAAAAATTGCAGATTTTTATATGATTTGTGGAACCCTTTTGTGGCTGCTTCTTCTCTACAATAAAGAGGACTTCTTTCCGTGCTTACAAAATCTCCCACTCCTTCCCACCTGAATTAAAATATCAATCCATTTATTTATTATTATTATTATTATTATTATTATTTTGTCATCGTCGTCGTCTTGGAGGGCCAATAAGACAGAGAATGGAAAATAAGAGTCATACCTGAGCTTATCAATCCAGGCTTCAGTTCCCTTTGTTGCACAAATCAAATCAAGCTGCCCACTGTAGATAGTGACGTTAACTCCTTTAGAAAGTAGTTCATCAACCTGGATTAATCATCATAACATGTATCTTTGTTAAAATACATATAAATATAAAAAACCAATATATATATTAAAAAAAATTAAATCCAATATCGTTTCTTTTTTCCCAGGATTAATTTGATTTAAATAAATTATAGACTACAGATTTGTTAAAAAAGTTTAGAAGTTGAGCTTGTACCTCAGCGATTCTTGGCCTCATAAAATCACCTGCCAGGGATGAGAAAACAATATCCGACTGCGCACCCCATCTGTTAAAACACATTAAAGTTGAAATTTTGGATAAAAACTTCTAAAGAGTAATTTTTTGTGTGTGTGCAGAAATTGTAATATTTCATAAACAGAGGGATAAAATAAAGCTTACGTGACAGTATCTGGGATCTTAAGCTTTTTCTTAATGACCCCATTCATCAAAACATCAAGGTCATCCTCACCATTGCCCGGTGAAACCCTCAAGGAACTCAGATATCTTGAGTATCTATTGACTGAAAAAAATCCATTGGAAAATTCTGAAGCTGTTAAAGGTACAGGTCCCATCCCAGCATCCTGAAGAAAATTGTAGAAATCCTGCAAAATTTTACTCAAAAAGATGAGGGGTTTTCTTTTGAGGCTAACTATGGCAAAATGAAGTGAAAAGTAGCATACAACTGAGTTGCTGTTGGCACCAATTACTGACTCAAGTTGACTCCAAGTATATGTTGCATCAATATACTGGCCATCTTTGAGTTGCTGGCTGATCTTCTCTGCTAGACTAATTGATATTCCAAATGGTTTATCAGATAACATAAATATATGGTTAAATGTATTTTGGTTAGAATATGCTGTCAGTCCCTGTACTTAGCAAAGTTTGACAATTAGTCCCTATACTTTTAAGAGGTTTTAACTTTCTAAGTATAGGGACCAATTGTCAAACTTTGCTAAGTACAGGTACTGACAGAATATTCTAACCAAAATACATTTGAGCCAGTAGTCATTGGTGCTTTTAATATTTCCATCAAATTTTGTCAAATTGGCATGTTATTTTTAAATAAAAATATTTTTTAACTCTTAAAAGCACCGGGCTCAAATTTCAAAATTTGTAAAAATACAAGGACTAGTGGCCCCCAATGATAAAAAAAAAAGGAAAATCGATGGTACATGTTTGATTTTTTCAGGCCATTGATATCTAGCCTGGAAACATCCTTAAGAAGAGGCCCCCAAGCAAACTGTAATCATCCATGTTTAAAAGAAGAAAAAAACTTAGATAATACCCCAATGCAAGCATTCAAGTCTGGAAATTTCCTGGTAATTTCAACAATTTAAATGAAGTCACTTACAACAAAATCCTCTGGTGAGATCCAACTATTTCCCAAGGCAACTCCTACAATATCAGTTCAATGCATGAAAAGAGAGCATTTCTTTATGTGGATGAATTATTAATGGAAACAAAGATTTTATTTTGTTTTTACCTCCAAGTTTTAGCTTCAATTTTCCAGCATCAATGGCGTTTAGAACTGATAATCCAGCGGTGACAGCAAACTTCCCCCCATAAGACTCGGCCACAATGTACAAAGGACTCTTTTGAAGGCTTTCATTTCTATTGAATAATTCCATCAACAGCGTAGTTAAATCAGTTGCTGCTTCATCATCAGTTTTCACCAACATCTGTGTGTCTTCCACAAAGCTGTACCCTGTTCCCACTGGGTTGTCCTATATATATATATATCATTAATTTTCCATTAAAATTAAAAAAAAAAAAAACTTCTTTGGCTGAATAATGGATAACTAAACTAACCACAAATAAAAGATCAGCCTTTTTCAACCAAGTGGAATTCCTTGGCTTCAAATCAGTGTCTAATGGCCCAATCTCCTGAAAGTTTCCAATTCCTACTCCTGAGGCACCCTTTACAAAACATTTTCAAAACACATCAAAAAAAGAAAATCCAAAAACTATTCTCTGAGTATTTTATTCATACAGATTACTTACAGGTCCACCTTGTAACCAAAGAATGATTGGCCATGGCTTTGAAGGCTGCTCAACTCTGTAAGGACTTTTATAGAGCCACCAAAACATGTGTGCTTCTATTCAAAACAAGAAGAAAAAACAGAAAACCCAATTCAGAATCCATTACATTAAGCTATTTAGATTAAAAAAAACACAGCAAAATGAATGAGAATCATGTTTTCTTACTTGGTCTAACTTGAACATAGCCCCATTCTTCTTCTGATCCACCTTGGGATTTAACTTTAACAACTCTGGATAATCCTCCATGGAACAAATAGAAACTGAGGAAAACCAAGAGAAGAAGAACATGGAATTTTCCCATTTTCTTGGGTAAGAACAAGAAAGGAAAATGAATTTCCCAGATATCCTCACCACTTCACAGTACTGTGCTTTGAAGCAAAGGAAAAAACTGAGACTTTATATAATCAAAAAGGTAATAGGGAAAGGAACACTTTTTGTATCTGTCAATTGTCATATATTATTGTTTTTCCCTCTCCTGAAAGTCTTCAAAAGGAAACAAAATCTTCATCTATATTATTGTTAGGTCTGCCAAATTTATAGGGATTTGGGATAAGACTGGAAAGAACCAATCAAAGCACTCACCCTTCTTTCTTCCTCTGTTTCACATACATATTCATGCAGAACCCAAAGGTTCCATAAAACATT